CGCACAGGCAGGTGCACGCGCCCGCCACGCGCGGGCGTTTCCCGCCGCGGCAACATGGGCGGGGCCGGGGGGGACGGCACGGCGCTGCCGAACCAGCGCTCGGGGCTCGGTGCCTGCTGCGGCACAGGGCAGCACCTCGGGCGTAAAAGCCTCCCAGGAAAAGGAGATCCGCGTGACTTTTTAAGTAAATTTACACCGTCAGTCATCCTGCAAGTCTTCAGCACTTTACGTCAGGTAGCTACAACTCTTTGGATACAATACAGTACTTAGCGTATTACTGAATCATTGCTTCTTTCTCTCAGGAAGTGCACGTACAACACTAATTCCTTCCACACACATTTACAAGCATGTCTGGACTTCCAGAGGTTTGCAGAACAACGACAGAAATAATCCCTGCAGGTCAGAACCCTCCCGGATTTAAACTGGACAAAGATGCACACTGCAACCTCCTGCTTTTGCATTTGCTATTCTTCATATGCACACACTTACACTCCTCTGCGGACATCTGTATGTGTGTGTATTTGTATGTAATATTTAGATATTTACCTAAACTGCTGGTAACTTTAAATACCAGTTGACCTCCTCCTTTTTCCCAGTACCACTGTATGCATCTGTTTCCCTTGCCCTCCCCTTCTCCCACCCCAAACTCTTCGTGGGACCTATTTTACAGCATTGAAACACTCCTATAGAAAAATGACAGTGTCTTACAAGATAATAACTGCTTCCTTGCAGAAAGGAGTCATCATTTTAACAGCTGTCAACAGTCATTCTCTTAACATGCAGCAGCAAATAGCTGAAGCTATAAATCTAAAATAAGCTGGAAAAGTTGGAGAACTTCCATTTGACTTTTAACCTCACCTCCGGGTTGTGAAGGGTTTAAGTCAGTATATGTGTAAAACCCTAGAGCAATAATAACAGAAGTTAATTACCACTTGCTTATAGGTAATTTCTTAACATATATAACCTTATCTAACAATATTATATATGTATGTGTGTGTGAATATTAAAGTTGACAGCTCATAGCTATCAGCTACTAATACTGCAATTCTTTAGAAAATATTCTTCCCTCCATGGTAAAGATTTCCATTTTTACAATATTTTTTAATTACTAAGGAAAGCCCGTACTTTTTCACAGATTGTTAATCTGGTTGAGAGTTCAGTTTTCTGACAAAAGATGTTTTGAAAGAAGATTTTCAACCCACTCTCAGCATGGTCTATCAGAGCCAAGAAAAACAAATAATTTGCTGTTTCCAGACTCAGCAACTATAGAATAATCATACATAAAACCCTAGTATTTTTAAAACTGCCTCTCGTTTGTGCATTTAGAACAATTTACAGTACAGGTTAGGATAACAACAGTTCAGATACTTCCTAATCTCACAGCAAATTTAAGTACAACTTTAACTCTGTCTGCCCTGCCACAAATGAGGAACTGGCGTCATTCTTGGGTAGTCTAAAACCACACACCCCCTTTCTGTTCCCACTTGAAATCTCCTCCTTTTGAGCTCTTGTAGCTGGACACAGCATGGGAATATATTAGTCTCCAAAAGCCTCTCCAAACAGATAGTATTGTAACTAAACAGCAGAAGCGAATCCCAAACCAAATGATACAATTTAAAGATGAAAAGACGACACTCAGATTCTCAGAGCTTAAATTTACCTAAGAGATTTTGATGCCCAAATTGCACTAGGAATTTGATGTTCAGCCCTCCTTCTCTCTCTCTCAGTACCGGGTACTCTTTTTCTTCAGTAAAATTCTATGAGGAAATAAGGTTTCTTTTGAAGTTTTCAGGTATGAGCCACAGCCCAAAGACCCAGATCAGTGGGTGGTTTTGTGTTCATGGGGTCTCAATAGTTCCCAAAGAGCTTTCTAGAATCAGTCTGGTGTACTAGAAAGAAAGAAAAACTGTCCTGGAACAGCAGCAACAAGTTTCATTAAACCAAACTCTGTCTGCTTTCCTCCATTTCTCTAAACAAGGCTTCCTGACATTTGTCTGCTATGATGAAATAAGCTCTCTTCTGCCAGCAAGAAAGAGATCCCGGTTATCACGTCTTCAAACATGATTTAGAACCTTGGAGAACATATAGTTCCAGCTAAAATAGCTGGTAACACAGATTGGCTGGACATCATGGGGAGGATGAACAAATAATGTTAAAAGTGTGCTGTGGTTACATCCAGGATTTTCAGTGGAAGGATATCCCGACTGAAGATACTGGGCATGTGGGAGGCCTAGACAAGGACTATAAAATCCTCAAAATCTCATTCGGCAAAATCTCCCAACAGGGAAGAGGAAGCACCCAGGGAAACCTGACTTAAGCCAACCCTGTCAATATTGTTAGCAATGGTCTGAATACTACAGCCTAGAGTAATGCAATAGTTTGAACAATTTCTGTAGCAATATCACGTTTTTTTGTAAGGGCCTTACGGCATTTTGAGAGTATCTAATCTACCCTGTGAGCAAACCAGCATCCATGGAACATACCGCATTCCACAGCCCATCTCAAATACCCAGTTTAGCTGTCTTAAGGCAAGGTTCTGCTTGGAGACCTGTCACTGAAAAATGGTAGGCCAGGCACCAAACTAAGAAATAAAAGAAGTTTCAGTCCAAAACAAAATATGCTCAATTTACATACAGTGGAGTTTTGAGTTTGTCTCTAAATAAATGCCAGTCCAACATGCTCACCATGGGCTTTGATAAACAAATTTGAGTTCTTTCCATCTCGTGTCACACCAGGAGTGATAACGTACAACACGCTACAAGCTGTCCATTTGTCCGTTTTGCCTTCAGTGGTCCTGCTTAGGAGCTATGGAGTACAGCAATATGATTCACTGATCCTCATGCAAGTACGAATAATCCTTTTGAAAACTGATCTGCACCAAGTAGAACAGCTAGGGTATGCAACAGTTGCATGATCGTTTTCCAGTGTTATTCAGGGAAATTAATCATATTTGCATTTCTAAGCAATGAATAGAAGCACTTCCACGAGTCTATTAAGATTCCTGAAAAGATGGGAAAGAGAAAGAAAAGAAAGAAGTCTGTCTCATTTGTCTGGGGAACAGGAAATAACATTGTATTATGTAATCTATTAAATGTTTCAAGCTTTATTTCACATTAAAGTTCAGTGCCAATGGTTTTTATATACATGTGTGTTTCTGTAAAAAAGATCTGGCAGATTTGCACTGATCTGTTGCCATAGTTATTTTTTTCCCCCGTGGTTCAAATCTCTGACATCAACACAGTGCTCTAGTACAACGATACCAGACTAAAATAGTTTAATTTGCAGTACTAAGCTCTAAATTGTTTTCCCTGTGGTCTGAGAGTGAAAATTTGGCACATGAAACAGGCCACAAGATCATCCAAATTAAACTTCATCCAAATAATTGAACCCACTCCTGTAAACACAGCAAACAAATTTGCATCCAAGCATTTTGATTTATATCATCTTGGATTATCTGCTAAAATATATAAAAGATGATAAAATAGGTGGCTACTCAATCACTGGCATAAAAGGGACATAAAATAAATCTAAGTCAATACTGACTGACAAGTTCTGCATGATCCAGAGGATCCCTTTAATGTGTACATTCGAGCTTCAGATTTGTGAAAAAGTTGTTTTCTTTTAGTCTTGGGTGTTCACAGATTACTTCCACTGCATGGTGAACGGCTTTTCATTATATTTTAATAGCACTGTGGTGTTACATGTGTAACTATAGTATCATTTTGCCAGAATACATGTAAGGAGTTTGCTGAAATACATATTTCAATGGCAAATGGTGACAAGAATATAATGGCCACATACACTGGGCTGCTTTCTTTGGAGGTTTAATGGGTCACTTAAATATGCATGCAGTGATAAAGCTCCACAGAATTCAGTGGAAGAAGGATGAGCTACATTGGATGAGGGTCTCACTACATCTCTGTAAATCACTGAGGGAATTTTTTAACACTTGGGATTTGATCTAGACATTCACTTGGTGTAAACATCTGGAAGATGCTTCCATTTCATGTTGGTGTGAGAAGAGTATCCAGCTATCTCTTTCAAGGTTTTGGAAGTTTTAAGGCTTTTAAAATCTGACATCCTTCCCCTCTTGTTAGCCTCCACCTCCTACCCATCTCCCTGTTACTGTTTTCAGGAACTGGGAAGCTCAGTGGAATGGAAGGGAATTTCCTTTCAGTTCTCCCCTGCAAGGCACAGGGCTGGGAACAGAATAAAAGCTCAGACTCAGCAACTGCTGTCTTTGTTTTCATTGTGAACAGAGCAGGATGATGAAGAGTTGAAAATGAGGCTTTCAGCTCTTGTCACAGATCTTTTCAGGGCATGGGTCTGTTTTCTCTCACAAGATTTACATTGGTGTGAGCAATGACATCACATTACTTATCTCCCTTGGAACAGGCAGAGGTTCCACGCAGAGCCTTCCTCCGCTCCTTCCTTTTAACCTCCAGAAACAGCATTTGCTGCAGTCCTTTCCGGTTTTAGTTCTGTGGCACCCTCAGCAGTTGTCAGTGTTAAGCCATAGTCTTCAATCCCCACCTTGCAGACAATGTCTGCTCTATGGGATCTTCTGAGATTACTCCTTCCACATGACATTCTACAGTTAAAGCCCAGGCCAACTGAGGAGAGAAAGGTGGTGGCCTGCAGTACGTTACACACTTAGCATTGTTGCCCAAAGGCAAGGGACACAGGTGTAACTGCATCTGTGCTGAGCAATAGCCAGAGAGAGCAAGCCTTTTAAGTAGCTCTTTAATTCAAAGGAGCCCAACTGAAAGGGATCCTGGCCATGAAGACAAATAGCATTGGTCTGTGACCTCAACACTGACAAACTTTGTGTCAAAAATGTTATGATACACAACATGAAGAGTAGAGTCATTCATTCAGATGATAAGCATGATCTGCACAGGGCCAGTAAAAGGTGTCCACTGCTGTCACAGATCTGCAAGATCATGCGAATTCTACTCCAGGCACCACCACTGCAGCTAAAATGCTTCTCTGCCTTTCACTTCTCCAACTTGGCACAGCGGCATCATTTTTCCACTGGCTTGAGTAGGGCCCACCAATAAATGACAGTAGCAGTTGCTAGGAGGCTCGTCTCACCCTGAAGTTCAGGATAACTGAGCAGAGCTTCTTGTCAGGCACATTTAACATTCTTTCCAGGCCAGCTCAGTTCATGGGAGGTAGCATCCTACAAACTACCGCAGTATCCTTATGCTCGGAACTTTCAGTTATTTCCAGTACTAAAGAAGCCACTTCCTCCTTGACCAGCTGGTGCATTCCTGATAAATATCTGCTTGCATGGTACCTTCTGAATTTCTGAAAAGTGTCTAGTTTGCAAATGGCATAGCCTGTTTCACAAGTGCCTCTGGCACATGAAGTCCCGATGCTGTCTTCAAAAGATTAGTCCCCAAAGCAGTCTGTGTCAATTGGATCCTGCAGCAAGACACAAAAGGGCAAAAGCACATGCTGCTGCTTTTCTATATTAGATTTTTATTTTTCAAAAGCAACGCTTTGAACTTAAGAAATAATCAGCCCATCTGGTACTCACAGCAAAGAATTTATTCCTTGCTTATTCAGTGAAGCATGGAACAGAAAAGTGACATCTTGCATGCTCCTTAATCAGAGAAAGTTTGAAATGGAAGAACGTCCTCACTGGATCTTTGTCTTTCTAGTTTTTACTCCTGCAAGACACTCCTCTCAGAACTGCTTTATGATTTGGAGTGAAGTATAACAATGTAATAGGTTTCTGTTGCTTTTTTTGAGTTCAAATAGCACCCCCAGAAATGGATTTGCTCTCTTTTGGGGTATAGTAAGCTGAGTCAGCCCAGAACAGAGTCTGAAGAGCCCAGGAGCCAAAGGAAGAAGAAGGAAAGAACTGGGTAGCACTCAGAGCAGCAATCAGGGAAGGAAGAAGACCACTTCCACTGGGCAGCAGTGAGCAGCTAGCCTGGTTCTTAGCATGCAGTATGACTGCCCCTGAACGGAGTCAATTCCTCAGCCTCACTGTGCACAAAGCATGCTGATTAATTAGCGCACAGCAAATCTGTACCATACCTCATTGCCCAGTAACTTCCAATGGCAGACACAGCTCTCTCCATGCTGGCAAAGCTTCATAAACCAATAAGGTGGCTGGGACTGATGCCAGCAGGGAAGCTGTCCCTGCCTTGAAAAAAAAAAAAAAATGATGAAAGAAGAGATTCTTTCCTTCCAGAAAGGCAGTGGGACACAACCGCTGTATTCTCTGACAGCTACCCACTGGGGTGGAAAATGTTTTCTCTGTGGGAATGCTGCTTTCAGCAAGGTGTCAGAGAACAATGCTGTCACCAGCCCTGGTCACACTCATCTTTTCCATGTCTCTTTTTATCTTTTGTTCTAACACAGTTACTTGCTCCCTTTATCTGGCTGGAGCAGGAGCCATTTATCTCCTGTGGTATGTTGCTTCCCAGGCTGAGTCTGTGCCTGCCTCTCCCTCTCCTCAACAGCTTGAAAACCATATCTGAAATTCTGTAAATTAACCAAAGACCTTGTTCTCTGCCATCAAAAGGCTAAAGGGCTTGCTGTGACAGATGCTGGATAGTCTTGGTACTGGAAACCTCTACACTACTGCCAGCTAAAATTCTGCTCGTAAAGAGACTAAGACTGTATCCTTCTGCTGCCACCACAAAAGAGCAGTGAGAATAAAGCAGGATCCTCAGGGTCTCGGTACTGAAAGCAACAAAGTAGTAAATAGGTGAGAACAGAATCTAAAATGAAGCACTGAAGAGCAGGCAGTAGGATGAGGAATAAATGCTGTATAAGCACCTGGAGTTTCAGTACACATGGGTCCACCCCATCTACCCCCCACTTACTCTTAAATTGGACTGTGAGAATAAATTTAGTGGTGCCCACAGATGCTTAACCACTTCTCAGACTGTGCCTTTTCTGCTTTCCAAGGAAGGACTATCTCTAGCAAAAAGCTGAAGGTAAAGCTGGCTTCAGTTTTTCTGCACAGACTGACAGGTCAGCCTGTGTTGTCTCCCTCCAGTGAGGAAACTCCACACAGTATTTTTGAAACGTTGCTTTCCTACCATTTCTAGGGCAGAGCAGAAGCACAGTGGCTGACCTCAAAGAGAGGTTCAGGGCTCCTACTTCTGCAACATTAACAACTGAGTTTTGCAGATGCAGACATTTTACCTTGGCAAATGGTGGCCTGACAAAGGCTGCAACTCGTTAAGTTTTAGCCACCTCACCATTCTTTGTTAAGTGTCACCATCCTTACGCCCCCCAAGAGACATTGAGAGAGAAAGTGAAATACCATTTTTCCTTGCTTGTGTCAATAGCTTGCCTTTTCTCTCCCTTTCTTTCACTTATGGCCTTCCTCAATCCCCTCCACACCTTTTTCTCTATTACCTTATAAAATCTTACTCTTGACATACTAGTCATCGCTTTTCCCACTATGGTCTTGTCATTCAGGACAACAGGAGGACTGCCTTTCATGCAACTTCTTCCAGTAGTGTTTTAACGTCAAGTTCCCAGGCAGAGGATCTGGGAGAATGAGAAGGTGGGAGAGCTTGGAAGGTAGGAAAAGAAACCTGAATTACGTCATGAGTGTGATGGAATAAACAGAACGATATGGCAAATTTGGTCAACATCCACTACATCCTACAGACTGTGTCGGGAGTATGCACGTGTCTTTGAGTGACCAGTACTGTTTGCCCACATAACTGCATTTGTGAGCTGAAGCACAAGCTGGGGAATCTTTACCTAAAAATAAGTTATTTCTAGATTCATCTTAAATCATACTCATTTCAGACCCTGAAATAATAAAATAT